CTATTCGTAGATCTTATATAACTACTCTCCCCTCCCTCTCTCTCTCTCTCTCTCTCTCCCGTGTATTATTTTCCTCCACTCTGACCCTTCTCCTAAATCTTCTCATCTTACGCCACTTTTCTCTCCCCAAATCTTCTAACCTCTATATATAACTTTAGACTTTTTATTAATCTTGTAAACGACGCTCATAATCCACGATCCACGTTTAAGAACAATAATAATGTATCTCTTCTCGATTCGAAAAATCAGCTAGGAAAAATTAATTTATTACTTTTCCCCGAAACCAACAACGCGTCGACGAGAGACACGAGGGAGAGAAAGAGGCAACTCGAAATTCCTTTGATAATTCTTCCTCCCTTTTACACACGACTCTCTCTCTTCCCGTTCGTCTGAAAACACCCTCTCTCTTCGGTCACGCTCGTCCCGCGTTTCCGCGGAAAGCCGAGGGTGGCTGGAAAAGAATATTAAAGGAAACGGCAGGATACGCGCTTTCATATTTCGACGGCGTCTCGAGGAGTGCGTGAGCCACCGTTCGATTCATTCGCGGGGAACGGAAGAAGATATGGGCGCGCGGAATGAGTTCAAAGACCCCTCTGGTGACGAGCCTCTCTTTCCCGTCTACCTATCCTTCCCTTCTCTCTCTCTCTCTCTCTCTCTCTCCATCGAAATTGAAACGAGGCAAGAATACGAGCCTCCTGTTTCGCCCGATATTCGATTCCGCGTTATTGGAAATACGAGGAGGCGAAGGTGAGGCTAATGAGATTTGACTACGCGCGTTTGAAACTCGCGATGCACCGCCGTGCGTGAAAGAACTCGTTACTCGTCCGGGATAGGAAAGGAGCTCGCTACTTGAGATTTTATTTTAATTGGATATCCAACCGGTTTCCAAGCTTCCCTCCATTCGATCGTGATAACATTGGTTTGTTATTATTACATGCATGCGTATATGTAGAAGCGTTTTCATTTTTCGATTCGCGAAAGTACGTCGATTCTTGTTCGACAAGGGATAGATTTATATTTTCTCGAAGATATGATGTTCGAGTAATAGTTTTCGACCGATTATCGAGTGATCCAGTTTGGAGGATAAGCAGGGAGGGAGGGAGGGGCTCGAGGTAAATAATGCCACGATGTTATCACGATGGACTTTTGCTCGAAGCTGTCGTTATAAATCTCTTTATTCGCGGAGATCCGCGGGTAGTTTGCCGTTTAAACGGCGAAGTGGTTCGCGATAAGAAGTTCAAAGATTAATTTTCGAAGGGGGCCGGATCACTTTCCGGGTAAATGGTAATCGGATTGAAAAGTTCGATCGAGGCATCGATTACTGGCCGAGAAATGAATCACGAAAGATTGTTAAGTCACCTTTTCGGGGAAACTTGAACAGTTGAAAAAAGAAGAAGTAAGATTCATAATCATTTTTCGAATTCTTTCAAGATATTCTCTTCTCCTCGTTTCGAATCCTCAACGGAGATTTGTCGTCATTAATATACTCACTTGTCCGTGAAAATAGAATCGATTTTATTTTTTCGATACTGACCTTTCGAAATCAATTCTGTCCTCGACCTTTCACATTTAACTACGAAACCCTACGATTGTCCATGATCAAATATTTATCTTCGCTCTCTAATTTCGAGACTTCGAGATTGGAATATTTTGTCACTCACGAAAATGCAAATTTCTCTTTCGAAGTATTTTCTCTTTCGAAGAGATCCTCTTCGGATTATCCATTCATCTTCTTTAAAAGAAAGCGCACTTTCCTTCTCGATCGTCTGGAATAAAAAATGTGAAACGCTCCGAAAATTGTCAGCCAATTGTTCGAACCTGCCACCTTCTGTGGAAAAGTGGAAATCGGTCTTTCCTCGGGCTGAAATTTCCTCGAAGAAGGAGGAATGCAGGGGTTACGAGGAGAGGGGAGGGGGGGAAATCAACGCCTTACGGCGTGGCATTGATTGAAGTTTGTCTTCCGTCAGAGAATCAAGATCGTCCCGACACTTCCGTCTCGGCGGGGCCGTTATTCCATTACGCACGTCAACTGTCGAATAAAGGGCAAACGAGAGAGAGAGAGAGAGAGAGAAAGAGATGGCGGAACATCGACTCGTGGATGCGGATGCACCCACGCGACGAATTTATACCCGATGTCTTCGTGAACGGCTTTGAACAGGGTCTGAAACTTGGAGAATTTAAATCGATGAAAATCTTCTTTTCTCCTACCTCGAATCGGTACACAACGAACGAAAGAGTTCTTAATAATTGCGTGAAAATATTTATTTTTTCTGATATTTCTATTCAGTTTATTCAGCGAAAAAAGAATTTCGTATTCATTAAATCAAATGCATTTCGCAAAAACGTTCTATTTTGCAAAGAAAGAGAAAAAAAGAATGACAGTCTAGCCACCGACATATCGATGTCGATGAAATAACGATAACACGATGACAATTGCGAGAAATTGAACGAGTGTCACATCGTATTATCATCCTCCATTTAAATCGGTCATGAATTCTTCATCGCGTACAATTTCATCGATAACGAAGGAAGGTGTGGTATCGTTTTCCAATTACACCGTCTGCTCTTCGAAAGGATCGAAGGAGGAGGTTGCGAAAAATCTCGTGGCACGTGCCGATTTTCACGAAGGTGTCAGCCGGCGTGACACGTGATTCCTCGCCTTCCACCCGATCGAACTCGGGAAACGTTCCGCGTTTAACCTCTTCTTCTTCCACCCCGTAAAGGTATTTCCCTCGACCTACGAAGAGATGTCTTCCCAAAGATGCCTTAGACGTGGGGAGAAATCGGCTTTCTCGAAAGCCGATTCGGGACAATCGTTTTCGAATGCGTTGCAAATTAAAATTCTGTTTCTATCTACTCGATCGAGTAGTTTACGAGAAATTTCGCTGGAACATCTCTCGAGAATAAAATTATCGGCTATTCATTCTCAATAATTTTCCATCGTTTCAGAGAACAACAACACTGTCTGTGAAAGAGGAAGGAGAGGAGAAGGCGAAAGGCAAAGAGGAGGGAGAGGCGAATAATAAATTCTCCACTCGAGTATTTTTGCCGCGGTGACACGGTGAAAATCACCGGCCGAGCCAAAGCGTTGAAAGGCTTTTTAAATAAACCGATTACCATTCGCGGCGGCGTAATTATAAACGAAGCCCCGGCCGGCAAGGCGCGTTAACGGAAACGCGCGTCGCATGCAATGCGACAGCCGAACGCACGCCTCCCCCATCCCCCGGCCATTAAATCAAAAGCCATTAAACTAATCAACGTTCCCGCGCGAATATCGTTAATACTTTTCACCAACGATTATCCATCCATCGTCCGATTTCCCATCGCGTGTTGCCCTCTATTTTCTTTTTTAGATCGCTTTCGCGGAGCGCAACAATTTTTCTCTCCTCTTTTTCCCTCTTCTCTTTTCGATTTGGTAATTTTGTGACGATTTTGTGCAATCGTATTTGAAGAGAATAAAGCGGTATAATAATTTCTTTTTGGTTATTGTTCCGGTTGGAAATATTCGAGGTTCTTTACTTCTTTTCTTTTTTTCTTCTTCGTAAAATAGTTGGGGCACGATGATTCTTCGTATTATTTAAATTGTTACGCGCGAAACTTTTCACTGGCGCGCAACAATGACGAAGACGAGGGGAGTGGAAGGGGTGGAAACGGAATTTTAACAAGGATTTGAATCGCGGCGATGTAGAGCAGGGCGGGCATCTCGTATTCGCGAGAATCGAGGCGACAAACAAGGGCTGAGTTTATTTGGGGAGGAGGAAGAGAGAAAGTGAGAGAGAGTGAGAGAGAGAGAGAGAGAGAGAGAGAGAGATTCAGGTTTTAATCCTGTGGAATTATAAGAGATTAGCCGCGTGTGTGCCACCTGAGAGCCACCTCGTTAAATGCATCGACAAAGCATCCCTCTCTCTCTCTCTCTCTGTGAATAAAGAAGAGAAGAAAAGGAAGAAAAGAAAAAAAATAGATTAATCAAAAGGGACGCAACAATATACCTATAAAAAGAAACCAACGAATATAATAATATTACACACGCGCATTAAAAAGATCCAATATTAAAGAAAGAAAAGGACAAAGAGTACAAGAAACGGTCGAAGACAAAAACAGAGAAGAAGAAGAAGAAGAAGAAGAAGAAGAAGAAAAACAAGCAAAAAAGTAAGACAGGAAGAGATATATATCGATGGGGGAGGGCACAAAGGTAAAGGGAGTGGGTGTACCTATCTTCGAAGGTATTCGCCGCGAGGTATATCGGCATCATTAGAATCTACCCCAGAAGGAACCCACCCTTTGTATCCTCCTCCACCCCAACTTTTTCCTCCTTCGGACCTCCCCGTCGATCGTCGTCATTTCTCCTCCTTCTCCCCCTCCCTCCCCTTCCTGCGCTTTGTCGCAGGAACACAGGGCGTCTTCTTTATCAATGCTTTGAAATCTCGATCAGCAGCATCCCCCGATGGATAATGCCACTGATGAACACGGCAACGGGCTACGATTTCGCCCTGAGAAAGAGACTTCCACTACGGTGGGACGTTGGCTGACTGACGTCTCGAGGAACGGAATTAGATTTGTTAAGGGGTTGACTGCCTTAACGGGGGATTCGAAGGAGACGCACGAAGCGACGCGCAATTCCAACAATGCCGCGTCCAGCTCAGCAGGGAGGGTCACGCGATTTGCTTAATTTATTCTTAACGAGTCGCGGACGGCCTCGCCTTTGTGCTCGCGACCAGGGCTCGCCGATTGTTAGAGGAGCCCTCGACGCGATAATTATCGATCCGATACGGATCGAGAGATGAATGGGGAATAGGGTTTTCTTTGTCGTTGGCAAACGGGCTGTCGTTCCAGGGTTATAGATATCAGGCAAGGTGGATCGGTTTCGTGGATGGAATCGCGAAATAATAAATTTCATTGGAGGAGAAACCAAGTAACCCCTGTTCCGTAATTATTTCAAATCGATCATTCGAAGTTGGATTAAAATTTGGGCAGAAAGGAGAGAGAGAGAGAGAGAGAGAGAGAGAGAGAGAAGAATTCTG